TCAAGAGGGTCTGGCATACTGAGGTCAAAGACATTTGGTGTGTGTTCAAATGTGACCAGCTATTAACTCGGGGAGGAGGAAGCGTCATGATGAGTGACGAAACTGGGTTTGCTGCCTGTAGGAGGCCTGCTTGCATTCTCAACCTGTGGATCTCGCAAGCAGGAACGGGACGGTGTGAGCTCCTGGGGACCTCCAAAGGAAGAGCTCTCCCTTCAGAGCTAGAGGTGGGGCTCTAGGGAGAGAGCAGAGGGGGTCCTGGGGGATCCTCAACCCAGGGTTCTCCAGCCCCGAAGCCTAGCTGCAGAAGTATGGGAGAGCCTTTACTGCCCTCTCTGTGGCAGACAGGCACAGCCATCCACAGTGTTTGCCCTTTTCTTCCTCGGTCCTTAGAACCTAACCATCTGTGGGTTCCGCTCCCCTCCCTGCCCTGCTTCTCGAAGGGAGTGGTTTGCCTGTGCTGACTGCCCCCAGGGCGGAAGTGGAGCGCCAAGTGGCGAGGCTGAGGAGAAGGATGCCCAAGGGGGGCATTGCTTCCTTCCTGCTTTGAGGAGGAAAGAGCAGAATGAAGATTACCAGAGAAGCCCAGATTTACGTCCCAGGGACGCTGCCGTTAGAAGAAGAATTTCTTGTGTTAGCAGCATCTTGCGCTGGAATGCTTGCCTCTCGAAAAGTCTGATTCTCCCCCAGAGCTCGGTTTGTTTCCTGGTTCTCTGTTTCGTTCAGGTGCAGGCCTGCTGCGGCTTCAGGTTGGCTCGTCTCTGATCAGCTGCTCCTCTCTCAATCTCTGCTTCTTTCCCTCCCTCGATCCCTGCACCTGCTCCCTTCCTGCTCTCAGAGCGTGTGGCCAAACAGCCGGGCTCTATGGTTTGAACACCCAGTCCTCACTATACCTGTGCGTACCAGGCCAAGTTACAACCTTCGAGCCTCAGTTTGCCTCATTACGTAAGATAGATATAACAGTGTCCATTTCATAGGGTGACGCATCATTGGAGGAATTAGTCGAGTAATATGTGTAAGGAGCTCAGCGGCAGTGCGGGATAAGATGCTCTAGGAATATCCATTCTACTGTCCATTTATTATTATCTAATCATTTTTGCAATACCTTTAAATCCTTTTGGACTTTTGTCAGGTGATAGAAAATATTGAAAGGCCTGCAGAAATTAAAGCTACATTTAGA